AGAAAGACTACTTATAAGATTAATTAACTGCTCAACAGTATTTGTGTCTGCAAACTAGTTCTACTTGTCACATCTGCTTGGCAGTCCAGTATCAAACCAAAGTGGGAACGCTTTCCCCTGCAGCCAGACCTTGACGCTGCATTAGAGAGTGATCCGTCAGCTGTGGTGCCGAGTGGCACACCCTGCCCCAGCACCTGCGGAGGCGTCACTGCACTGAATTCAGTTCAGAAACAGTTTAGGTAAGGGATGAGAATGGCTGCAAACACTTTTTCAGGAGTTTACATAGCAATACGAGCTTTATGCATAGCAAAAGCCAAACACATATAACCTATCTAGAAAGCTTCCAAAATGTTGCGAGACCTTGTTCCTTTTCCGTGTGTTTTGGCCACGTGCTCCTCTGGTACCCTTTGATCACAAGAAATGTGCCTGAGAAACAGCTTTTGGAGAGAACGAATCCGTAGAAACACTAAATATTTGCCTTGAATTCCTGGTAATATGGCATGTTCCTACTTGGGATGCCTAGAGAAAAATCGGTGGTGCACACACCTCTGTTGCTGTCATTGTTACTTGTGCAAGACCAACTTCCCCCCCCCCCCCCCACACACCCCAACAGGAGACCAGTAGTGAGATGGTAGCCTCGTGTTTGCAGCTCTTTGAGCGCTATAGGAAAGGTAGCACCACACCCAGCAGAAACCACTGTATTCATTCCATTCATATTAGGTTAAAAAAAAAAAGCAGTTATAATTTGCTATAGCTGACTCAGCCTGGATTTGAATCCAGGATCTAAAGGCAAATTAAATTTCACCATCCACATTAGGAAAGCAATTCAGCTTCTGAACTGGATCAGCTTTGATGCCACACTAAAGAATTTAGTTGAAATGTGGTATGATGAAAGACTCCTGTTCAGCAGCAGATATAATTATCAAACCAATCTTAATTAGATCATGAACTTGACTTTAGGATCCCCAAAGGAGTATTGAAAGCTTGGTCCAGTTTCACTGAACTTGGTCCAGAACACTGAAGCTTATCCATCAAGATAAATATATTACTAGTTCTTTGATATGACAGCTGCTTGATGAGTGACAGAGCAAATGCCTTTTTAACTATGATTTTAAAACAGAATTATTAAACTGCACTAAAGTGTATGCTGTTGTCTTTGAGGGAAAAAAGTATAGTACATGAAAACCAATTATTACAGAGCACATAGAGCACAATTTTTTAAGCACTGGTTTCAGAATTAAAAACATTTGAACAAAGGTTGTCTCTGTGGAGAGTCACTTTGTAACTAATTCAAGCCTTTAAATAGCTATTGTTTAAAAAAATTGTCAGCTACAGAAATTGTTTTTCCTTCAGATTCCAAATCCTGTCAAGCCAGGTTGATTAAAATGTTGCATTTAAAAAAAAAGAAAAAAGGCAATCTAATGATCCCTTATAAAAAGTGAAAACAGCAACTCAATTTTTAAAGCATCACGAACAAATGGCTATAGCCCATCTATCATTCACATATGGGTTCATGTAATGATTCTTCAATTAGAATTATTATCTGTACAGCAGCTGAAGACTGAGAACTGCTGATACACTGCAGATGAGAACATTTGCTAGTCTCTGGGCTCCAGCCTTTCTTAAAAAATGATGATTGCACAATATAGATGCTCAGTTTATATGTGTATTAAGTTGCAATGCCAGCATTTACATTTGCAACATTACAATTTTGCTTTCTTAGGCTCAAGAGAATTTGCTGCATCTGGTAGATTTTATTTGCTTTGTATCTTAGGCAATCGTTACGAAAAAAGTGTGAATAGGCAGTATTATTGCTCAAACAGTCCTTCGTTTTGTTCATTATCTCAGATTTCTTCACTGAAAGGGTTGTCAAGCATTGGAACAGGCTGCCCAGGGAAGCAGTTGAGTCACCATCCCTGGGAGGGATTTGCAAGACGTGTAGATGTGGCGCTTAGGGACATGGTTTAGTGGTGGACTTGGCAGTGCTAGGTTAATGGTTGGACTTGATGATCTTAAAGGTCTTTTCCAACCGAAACGATTTTATGACTCTGTACCACAAAAGGAGTAAACTAAGAGTGGGCCTGTGAGATGGCTCTTTCAGTGTCAGTTTGCCTGCACTATATTATCCCAGTGCTATTTTTATAAGGCAAGACCACCTGCTCCTTCATTTCTTTCACCTATATAGATCCAGATAGAATAAGATGTAGTATCAGAGGGAAAGAAAAGCATCTCACTGAACAGTTACAGGCACCATAAGGGAGGAAAGTCACTTTGGCAACTCAGACTGCAGCAATTTGAGGGGCCCCTGCCTACCCACGCACCCTGCCCTGTTGCCAAAGGTTACTGTCTTCAGAAGCAGGTATCCGTAGAATATACGTTCTGCAGAAGCGAATGGGAAGTGTGCTAGCTCTACAGCCACTGCTTCTCATACCTGCAATGCTCAAACACACCCCAGTTTCAGTATTTGTTAATACACTGTACGAATTGCAGTAGCTGCCAAGGAGACAGATCACTTTGCTACCTCTGCTACAGGGCAGTAGCTTTTGGCAGAGCAGCAGACTAGGTAGCAAGAATGGCAACCTCCTAAACTTCTCTTTCTGAATCCTCAGCTCTTCTGGAATATTTCAAGTGTTTGCCCATTCCTATTTCACAGCTGGTAACCACCTGCTCTGACCTGGAAGATGACGGAGATAGGTAGCTACATAAATAGTAGCTGTGAGATAGCCTTACTAAATGGGCATCTGTTCTTGGTGTTTCTGCTAGGATTCTTGCTGTATGAACCCCAAGTATGTTCTGAAGCCCAGGTAGCCTTCCTAGATGTCTCGCTCGTAATGTGGATGCTGGAGACAGCAAGTTGGCTCTTGCAGGTTTTTGAGGTACGTGGAAGCCTTTAGTGACATGTGCCTAGGTAGAGGTTAGGAAAAGGGCTGCACAGTCAATTAAGTTAAAAAGCTTCTTACTTGACTGTACAATCTTAGAAAGATCTTCAGAGAAGGCAAATATTGTTAATATATTTGTTTTACTCTGCATAATTTGACAAACCTATGCCCATGCTATTACCATCTTTCACAATACTACTTTTAGTGGGTGAGACCCGTCATAGCCATGAAATCTCCCCATATCTGTTATACAAAGGAAATGAAAACTCTGCTCATAGGTGTATGTTCCAATATTATTTCACTACTTTATTATAGATATTAGTGAATAGAGAATAAGTGATTTATACTCTTCCTTGAAAAATACTTTTTATCTACTGAATCTCCTAAAGAATCAATTATTCTCCATTTACTTGAAAGTATAGTGCCATTCGAATTACTTAAAATTTCATTATATTTATAATGACATTATATAATGCTTCCCGCTCTAAAAATTTAATATTCAGTAAAGACATTTAAGGGGACAAAGCAAGCAAACAAAACTGAAAACTGGTACACCAGCTTACCAAAGTAACGTAACACAAATATTTAGTTCAAGAGTTTATACACATGGTGGGGCACATTTCTCAAAATATTTAAGTTTCCTGACTTCAGGTGGCATCACTAAGATTTGCAAAGAGATATAGCGACACACAAATTAAAAATGTGGGGTTTTGTGTTTTGCTTTGGTTTTTTTTTTTTTTTCAATTAAAGCCATCATCTTAAATTCTTTTTTAATTAAAACAAAGATTTAAAAGGTCAAAATCAGAACAAACCACTTAATTCTTTCCCTGGATACCTGCTTATAGAGATTTGTTGATCTTTTCAGCTTTAATTTCAAATGGAAAACATTTTGAAGACAGGAAAAACACTACCCGAGAAAGCAGTTCAATCTATAGAAGAAGTGAGTGATTATTTGCAGCAGACAATTTGTTATGAGAACATAAAAGGTAGAGGTTTCTTCCTCTCAGAGAAGGCAACTGCTGTTTGCTTTATTCAGTTTCAGGATATTATTCATCAAATGCTTATTTTAGCTGCTACCATACACCTCCCTAAACTCTCGTAACAATAGTTCTAATGTTTGCATTATGTGACTAGTCATCTAAATGAATAATTTATACTCATTGAGGCACAGAACAGCAATATCAAAAACCAGGAAGAAAGGTATCACTAAGGCCTTGTGGTTTTCACTGGCTGCTCCAATATACTGAATACTGAGGCAGTGAGCCGGCAGAGTTTTGGCTCCCGAGCTTGTGGAAGAGAGTTTTACTGACTGGAAAAACTGAGGTACAGCATGCTCTCAATAAAAAAAAGGGGGGGGCGGGGAGAGAAAGAAAAGAAATTTACATCTCCTTATAGCCACAAGAACTCAGTGGTCAAGTTATATTACATTTCTCCTAGGATGTGTTTGTACAGCAAATAACAACTGTGACTGTAGCCCGGGGAGCCATACCTTCACAAGCTTTAATCAATCTAATGTGTAACTGTAGCAATAACAACGTAGAAGCAGCAGTGCAATTTAAGCTTAAGATACAATGGACCTCACTAAGTGAGAGCACCTTCATGATGATTAGCATACTATTAACTTCCGCATATTAACATCACCTCTTGTATCAATTCATTTGAACATGCTGGATAGACAATCCTCTCAAAAGCACCACTATTTTGATCAAGCATTTTACAAAGGGCTCTGAAGGATACACGTCTCAGATCCAAACAAAGTAGCTAGAATTTTTCCTGACATTTAGAACTCATTAATTGTGGTGTCCCAAGTATTACTACATTACAGACAGACAAAGAAAATGTCTTTCAACATTAAGCTCGCTTTGAACAGTAAATGACATAAAAACTACATACAATGTAGTAATTGCATTTAAGAATAATTAACTAAAAGTTTTGCAACCTACAGCACGGTCACTCCAGTGATACGGAACCTATGTTTCAGGAACAGACTCCAAAGTTATTGTTTGCTTAATGAATTCAAATCAGCAACTGCATACAGCCACAGAAGCAACAGTGCCAGTGGCAAGACACACTTCAGAAATGGAAGTCTATATATTTTAACAACAATGGACTAAAAACGCCAAAATACCCTCAGGTCTCACTGGCTCTTGAAACTGCTGCATTAATCCCACAAGGCATTCTTCCTTTTCAGTGGGTCTCTGACCTGATCACCCTATCAAAGAAAAGATGAAATGGAAAAAAAAAAGGGGGGGGGGGGGAGATGACAGTACCTCTCCACTCCACAACCCCTTGCTTTCATTATTAAATTCCTTTGGGTTGCTGAACTATGCAAATGTTTCCAAGAGCTGAATACTGACAGGATATGAGAGGTATTCTAGGTTTTTCTTTGCCACTGAGGGCTGCTTTGTTCTAGGCAGTTCTTGAGAGGTGAGAACACCTGAAAACACTACTATTCCAACTTTATCATTTCCTCATGCAGTTTTAACATTGTATTTAGTAAGGGCTATCCCAACACTTACATAAATCTTCAAGAAGAAATGAAAAGTGGCGCATATGCTGATGAGAAACAAAAGAGATTTTGAGAGCAGTGAAATATTTCTTGCTGGATGGTCCATACCTAGGAAGGAATTCAGTCACTGCCACAGAAAATCTTGTTAATCAAAATATGTGAATAAGCATTCTGTGATGTGCTGAACACCCACAGACTGAAAGGCCAGCTCAAGGTCTTTATGAATGTAAAGCTTTACTTTGGCAGATATTAAGTGCATATTTGTGCTGCAAAAAGCTTGTGTGGGGCCCTCTGTCTTGGAGAGAATATCACCTACTTTCTTCAAAGATGAATTTCACCCAAGTTTTTTTTTGTGGTTGTTTACAGATCAGGAATAAATTTTCTCCACTGCAGATTCACAATGCTAATCCAATACAAACCTGACATACTTCAAACAAGAGCATATCTTCCTGTGTTACTAGATCTGTATCTTCTAGTCTCCAAGTTGTTCTGTGCCTGTGTTAGAATTACTTATTTCATTTACACTTTTTTCTTTCTTTGCTTCTTTTCTAGAAGTCTTCAAACACTTGTCAAGTCTTTTCAGGAATACATCTACATCTTGCTTTTTAATTCCAATTGCTGAGGCAGCATTGAGGTAAGCACAGGGATAGTCATTTGCATGCGACATAAAGCCTTTAAAAGTGTAGTTATTCACTGTTTGTACAGACCCACAGGGAACAACCCTGAAACAAACAAACAAAATTGTGATTCAGTTAAAGATGCCTTGGATATTTTATGTGATACCCTATGATGAACACATTTACACAAGTTCCGATACAGTGTAATATCTGCTCACTCTAAACAAATTAACATAAGCAGGCTTAGATCAGGCACTCTCCAAGTTAATGCCCAAGCATCACTATGAGTGACAGTAGTAGCAGATCCTGAATTAGCTCAAGTCTGTGTGCATATGCATATGTCCCTTTGCCTCTTCAGTTAAATTATTAAGGTTTTCATTACTGGTATTTATGAGCTCCCCAGTGTGGGGGGAGAAGAGACATCTGCAGCAAACTTTCCTATTCCGTAACAAGCCCTAACTATCTGACCTGCTCTGTCTCTGATCTGGATCAGTTTGCCCCTCCTTAGGCAACCTGGTGACCCTGACCTCCCCGGGATCACCATATTGACAGCAGCCTTAGTGCAGGCACCTGCTTGGCATAGCGTACTGCAGTCCAAAATGTCTGGGTTCAAGTGATTCAGAGGACTCAGGATCCCAACTTCCTCCGATCCATTCCTCTCTACTGCACCTCCCTTTTCCCCCGTCCTATGATGTTAACCTCATATTCATTCCCTCCTTGTAGCGGATACTTTTTGCCACCGCTTTTACCTCTTCCTCATACTAAGAACCTCTGCCTATTACACCCTATTTCTCAGCACTTTCAGTACATATCCATTCCCTGATAAATCAAGACCCTAATCTACATCCTTACTTGTTAAAGGAACAACTCACCTTGTGGCCATAGGTAAAGCCTACACAAGCAGTTAACACCAATCAATTGATAATAATTTACTACCTCTATAGAGACATTCCCTGCAGTTCGTAAAAGAAACTGCATTCAGACAAACACCACTAGAATTAGCAGATCCTTCCACTGTCAAAGTGCTCTGACCACAGGTCATGCAAAAGCCTGTATGCTAGTGAAGTAGGGAGTTGCTACTGCTACCACTGACATTCAGCGCAAGCATAACGTTTAAAACCTGTTGAAATGCCGGGTCAAACAGTGTATATACTGCAAAAGAATTACTCGCTTATATAAAAAAAAGGAAAGACCTGAAACCTTTGTATCAGGCAAAGAATTGGAGAGTTTTAACTTTTCAAAAATTGAACCTCTTGAATCATTTCAGCCAAAGATGGCTGAAATTGCAGGACAAACCAAGGTTAGGACAGGCAAATTAAAAAGAGCATCTAACTACAGCACATACAGATTTACTGTCATTCATCTGTGCAGGAAGTGGAATAATCCAAGCTAATGAAGCATACCTTCTGATGTGGAAACATTCAGCTCTGCTACAAAAAAAAATGACATTAAGTCTGTGGCAGAAGTTAGCATGGCAGCAGTAATATTCAGATTAAGGAATCCTGCCAAAACAAATTTTAAATAATTCTCTTCTTCTAAAAGGTTTAAACCAAAACCATTAAAAATTATTTGGCTTGCATTTCCATGTACCAATGTCTCTAAGAATAAATTCAAGTCAGACTGACTCCGGTTGTAGATTTTTACAGGTTGTTTGGGTTTTTTGTTGTTTTTGTTTTGTTTTTTTTAAACACAGTTCCGGAAAGCAGGATTTTCTTCCTTATGACAAAAAGCTACGTAGGGTATTAAAAGCTTATTCCCCGACATCCAGCACAACCATATTTGTGCTGCAATAAACAAAACAAAGATCTTCCCTAAGTAGCTTACAACTTAACTATAAGATCAGACAACAGCTGGAAAACTAAATGAAACCAAGGAGTACTACGGAATAACGACACTAAATCAAACGGGCATAGATTATCTATTTAGCCTACCAAAGCTAACAAAGAGGACCTCATTGCTAACTCAGGCAGGTAGACATTATTAGTAGATGACAGTGATGAAGAAGAGTGTATTACTCTCTGACTCATTATTGTCAGACTGTAATCATGAGACAATTGGTACAAAATAAATATACAATTTCATAAAGTGTATGCTAATACAACCCCCCAAGTTTTTCAAACTCATAGCATCCTCACCTTGCTCCAGAAACCTGTCTCGTGAAAAGCATAGATCCAAGTTGGGTAACAGCAGCATCGTTATTTTCATCTAGATTCTTCAGTGACATGGCTAAAGTAACAAAAGGTCAGGTTAAAACTACTACAAAGCTTCTTTTTCTCCAAAGAAGAACCACAGAAGACAAGCTGTTTTCCAACAATAAAAATCTAGCCAAATATTTGTGTTCACATACAAAGAAAAAAAATAAGTAATACTACTACATTTCATCATTTTTAATTTTCCCACAAGCTGTCATATATTACTTCTTCAGTTAGACTGTATATGTAAGGCAGAGATTGTGCACAGGTAGGCAATATTACTTTGGTGTTCAGCAGAATTTTTGGTCAGAACAAATATCTTGAGTAGGAATTCCATAATCTCTTTTACAGCACTATAAGATGATGGTAAAATAATTACACCTTAATTTATTTTTAAATCTACTTATTTATAAAGTATTACTACATGCTAACATCATCTGTCTGCCTTGATTACAATAAATGAGTATGTTGGACAGGAGCAATTTTGTAAAAAAAATAAAGGGCCCAAGTCACTACTCTACTTTTATAGTAGGTTACCTTATTAGGTTCAATGGTTCCATCTCAGCCTAAGAACAATTTAATGGAGTGTACTGAACAATGTTTAATATATAGGAACTGTATGTTAAAGTGCATTATGAATGCACAGTAAATTAGAATTTTTTTTAAAAGCTAAAAAAAACAACAATTACCTAAGGAAATGGGATTATGTGGTGTGTCTAACAGTCTCTCATTGTGGATATCTGCCAGCTTCTTCAGCTCACTTGAAAGATAGGAAAACATCTCCTGGAAAAAAAATGCAATATTTTTGTTATTAGCTATCAAACAGAGAAAAATAGTACCGATTTCACAAAATTGTTAAGTCTCCATTATATCCTACAGGTGCCCAGCTGATCCTCTTTTCATGTGTACAAGTAAGCGGACCAGACAATTCTCTGAAATCTATAAAGGAACAGCTCCGTTTTCTGAACACTGCTCTTCCCCCTCAAGCTGGTACAAAGCCCTCTACCTGGTCTAATATATGTGCTTGGGATGTCAGTCATTCTCTCTGTGGCCCTGAAACATAGGGAGGTAAAATCTTGAAGAGATTCCCACTGCACAGCAGGTCTTACCCCACCCCACTCCTGCAAGAGCTTCCCCCCACCCTAGTCCCCCCTGAGCCACAGAGAATGAACTGTTACCATCACAGATGGCCATGTTATGGCAAATTGCTCCTTAATTTATTTTCTCTCTATTGATACATTCCAGACTAAAAGCAGTGCATTTTGTTACCACCTACCACACAATCACAATTACCACTAGCGCACAGACTTCTTTTTCTGTATGAGCATGGCAATACAGTCTCTTAAGGAGAAGGCTATGAGTACACATTTGAATGTATTTTGTTTCACACAATAGATACTCTCCTGAATACTCAGCTCTATTGTGTAGCCAGTCCTCTTCCTGGGACCAATCCCCACTGTGCAAGCCTACTAAAGGAATGAAGATATCTGAATTTCTGCTATCACTTAATTAGATTGCACCTTTATTATGAAAGTGTCATAAAACTGAGATTCATAAATGCTTTAGCTCAGATACAAGTCACACTGCACATAAAAGGCTGCTTCTCTTACTTCATCCCTCTTATTTCCTCCCTCTTCCCCACTAGTAATCTATGATAATGGCTCATGGTCTTCCTCAGTTTAGTATCTTCCTCTTCACATTTCAGCTCAAAACACCTATGGACAGAGTGAGAATAAACACCATTCTTCTTACTGTAGCCTTTAGCTTCTTTTCCATCCTTTTTAATGCTTAGCCTCTCATTAAAAATAGCAAAAAGATACAGATACTGGGTTATCTTTTTAAAAGATACTAAACACCAGATTTTTTCTCTTTCTGGCCATAAAGATTGTGCTGCTCATCTGCTTCAATGTGACTGCCTGTTTAAACAGCCTCATCAATTTCTGGACCTGACAAGTGATTTCTCATTCTTTAAATAGAGTTGCCTCTTCTGTTTGTAGACCAGTATCCTGTTCTGACCTGTGCACTCTGACAGATACAAATTATAGCTCGTGATCAAAATTATGTTTTTGAGCAGAACCTCCCAAAGGTCTTATGAAGCCAAATGAGCTTTGTGGTAGCTAAGTTAGAAGAATGCTACAGCTGCTTTTCTTGAGCCACTGCAGTGAACCGAGTCTCACTTCATGAGTGACCAAACGAACACAGCTCCTGACCTGTTCTTCCCAATGCCATTGAATGAATTGAGCCAGAGAGGAAAAAGTACCATGTTACTAAATGAATTAGGCTATTGATTCAACCATCAACAAGAGCATAAAGCTTCTGTAATATTTGGAACAACAACAAAAATTTTGGGAAGCATCTATGGTTAATTATCAGAACTTGAAATTTGTGAAAAATCATTATTTTTCAGAGGCATTTGTAAATCAAGTGATTTTATGGTTTCAATTCAGAGTTTATTTACAGTTCACTTGCAGAAGTTGAAAAACATTTGTGTTTCAAATGTTCAGGCACTTTTGCCTTCCTTCTGGTCCCTCACTGAATATAAACACATTACTTATTTGTTATTTGCTTTCCACAATGAGCATCACCAATGTGTTAGCCATTTTATCAGTATTTTTTTTGGAATCCAAATCATAAATTAATTTGTGCTCCCTCTGCTGGCTATTTACTTCTACAACTGAAGCAAAGTACTACAGAAGTATACACAAATTGTGTCTACTATGGAGATATTATTGGTGAAATTAGTACTGAGAAAAACCTGGAACAGGAAGAAATTCCCAAGTAATTAATTTTTGCATGGTATAACTAGGGAATTCTCTATTGCATCTCTTACCGTATTTATTACTGAAAGGACTGCAAGTTAGTATAACCGGTTACCCACTGTATAAATGTATTACATTAAATTAAGATTAAATACCTAGGTTACTAGATGAGCCTTTACATACACAGGAATTTGTTAAAACAAGGGAGAATGGAAAGATGGCCAAAAAAAAAATTCCAAGTATGTATTTCATCTGTTTGACTGAAGCTACCTGAACACAAATTCAGAACTTCTTATTTTTATGAACGACACTATTTTTCATCTTTCCGTTGGAAGCCCTCTAGATATTTTATAGTTTCAGAAGTTAAGCAGTTTGTTACAGAATAGATTAACGGCCTTTCCAAAAAAAGGAAAAAAAGCAGTATTTTTGTGAGGTCACATCTATAACCAACCTCTATTATAACATATTTCTGTTATGTGGAAAATTTATAAGCACCCTAAGCAATTATATACAAATGAGCTCTTACACAATTGATCTTCTGTGGTAGGCACTCAAGTTTTCTCTATTATGCTAAAGTTGCATTGAACAACCCAAGCACTAAATGTCATTTAAGTTTCATTATTTAATTCACTTTTTTTTCCCTTAGAAACTTATCCCAAACCTCACGAGGCTAGTGAAACAAATACTAAACTATGTGAAAATGTCTTGCACTTCTTCTGGTCTTTCTAGCACCTAAACCAATAAAATACCTCAAAAAACACGAAGAACAAGTCAATAATGGTGTGAGTCCAATGTGCCAAATGACTCGATTCTTTGAGCAAAATGGCCTACTTCCACATATGTACACAAAAATATTTTCAAGAATTTTTGTAACAATTATTTAAAATATTTGAATCAGACTGTATTTACATTATAAAACTATTTTTTACTAGAACCTACACTAATATGTGTGACTCTTCATTTGTCGCTCCATTGTGATAGGCACTGTTGTTCTTCCAAATGAAAATAACTAGAGGGAAACAAGTAAGGAAAAAGCCAGTAACTCCAGAGAAAAAGCAGAAGATGGGGGTACTAAATATGCCATTAGTTCCATATCAGGTGACAGAGAGACAACTGATGAATGCCAGAAAACTTCATGTGCGATTGAAACTATCCTAGCTGGTTCTAACCACCCAGCTGGCTTACACTCTGAGTCTGTAATACTCTGCCCTCCTCCCCGTTTCACTCTCATCTGAAAAGATGAGTTGTCCTCAGAGAACAGCCATATAGCTGTTCATGGCACTGAAGAACACACTGCAGAAGAGTAATTTTACAACCTCTTTGCACTAGATGCAGACTGCCAACTCTCATATGCTGTACCTGAGACTGACCTGGCCCCACCTTAAATTACTTTGCAGTAGCAGCTGTTTATAACGCAACCGTCATAGCCTCTTCTGCTTTGCGTATCAGACTGACCAGCTGCATCTGACCTGTGATCTGATCAGACCACTTGGCACACCACTTCATGCAGATAAAGAGAGGCTGCAGTGCTGAGCATGGAGACCTGTTAGTGCACGCCCCACAGAACCCCAGTAGAAGGTTTACTTTCTTGAAATGCAGCCAGACACATGACAGAAACTGTCCATGTATGTGTGTGATACCTACATATACCACATACCCTCATATATAGATTCTCTTGCATTGCAAGATCAAGAATTTTGTAAGTCTTGTCGCCAACCTGATATGGTAACACTAATGCTGACAATCACCATACTCATTTTTTTTTTAAAAGGTCTTTCTTAACAACACTGATCAACACATTTTCTCTTCAGCACTTGCAAAACCCCGAGATCAGGCTTCTTGTGGGCCATACCTCTCCAATACATGCTTTGAGTACGTAGGCCTCTTTGAAGCTTCCACACGTACTTGGCACGTGTTTAACTACCCACCACTATTTGAGATAATGATTACATTCAGTTAAACTATCTTGCCTCCAGCCAGTCTACAATTTGAATATGGTTCCACATACTTCACACAAGGAAAATCCTGCAATATTCCCACATGTTTGACAAACTACAGTGTGGCAAAGTGACTAGACAAGTAGAGAGAGGAGTGACAAATCTCTGTCTTGTTGTAAGAATATTTGATTTTTACATTTTTAATATCCAGCATTAAATGGCTTTTCTCTTATTCTTAAATTCAATCATAAGTAGAGCAGCAATATAAACTCACACTGAACTGTACAAATAATTTATTCCTTTCAGAATAATTACATCAATGATAAACCATAAAATGTAAACCCAGTATTTACTGAATTGTAAAAACCAAACAATTTCCTCCCACTCAGTGTGATTTTAAATATTTTAGATTCATACTCCATAAGGACATAATGACTCCAGTTAATCACTCTTAGAAAGTATACAGACAGATGGATACAAATATAAAAAGCTCCATCATGTCCCAAGTAACACAGAAATACATTTAAGAAAATCAGAATTATCTTGATGATTAGATTGTCAAGGAAAGTCTAATGAGGAAATCCATAACTGCTGAAAACAAAATGGCTCCATCACCTCTTCAATAATACCAGTATAATAACTAGTTAAATGGATTAAATGGACCACACTGGAAAATAGTTAAGAGGTATTAAACCTGATATGTAGGGTTCCTGAATGTAAACCCTGAATGTAGGGTCCTTGCTCTTCATCAATTCTGAGGTGACAACTGAAGTCTACTGTTTATGCTATTACACAGCGTAACCACTATTTTGCTACATGTGGCCTGGTTCAGACACAAATACATACATGAAAATAGAGAGTTTTAAGACTTAGTGATGCAGAATATGGGACACAACATAACCTGTACTGAGGAAATCAAAGGAGTCACTACAAAAATATAACTTTTACATAATATTATGAGTTCTTTAAAAGCACAGATATTAACAAATTTGACTATGGATCAGCTGCCATTATCTGCATTACAAAAGGACCTAGAATCCCTTACTGAGATCAGAAAACCACTGTTCTAAACACTACATAAACATATAAAAAGGAATACTGAAAATTTAGAGCAAGGGAGAAAACATTACTGTTGGTGGTGGTCTTCCATCCTTTCTCTGGAAACATCAAGGCTAAATACGACTGTTGAAAACATTCCTTATTAAGCTTTCATATATGGTCACCTTTATTCAGACACTTGGACAGCATGTGTGTTACTCCCTTGCTCTTCTGTCCTCAGATCCATTGCATCATTTTACTCTTTCATATCATAACATATAGCCTCATACTCTTGGACAATTGCACACTACATGACTGTCAGCTTGTCAGAAAATCCCACTCCACATACATGTTCCTCTCCCTCACATAATCTCTTCCCTTCCTATATTAAACAGTTCACCTGTGTAAAAGGAAAACTGGGCAGGCTATTTCTTTCCTTGGTTGTGTGAGATTAATCTCTTCTCGGTAATATTCTGATCTTTCTGGCTTGAGCTCAAACAACCTGAAGTAACACCCATGTGAATAAGGATAAGGTAAAAAGAGAAAGAAAAAAAAAAAAAACCCTTGGAGTTTTTTATAGCTGACTTTTTGTGTGAGTAGGTGTAGCTGCACCGATATAGAAAGGAGTACCCAATGTCAAGCTATAAATAGCTCCTGCTGGGAGCGTAATAGCTCTGCCTCTGCTTTCACAGAGCACAGGCAATAAACTATCGCTATTACATTTTTACAATTCAGGAACAAACAGATTTAAGCAAAAAAAGGTTTCTATTTCTACAGCAAATCCAATAACAGAAACATATTTATGCCATATATAAGGCTGTGTTTATAGAGTACACTCACATTTGAAATAAAGACCTGAAGTTGTAAAAATAAAATGCTTTATTCACTTTAGAATTCTACTTCCAAGAAAGTGACATGACTCAAAATACACAGCTATTCATGAAGACATTTTATTTATGAAAGAATTATTATTTATGACTTGGAGAATATTTATACCTCCCATTATGTATCTCCTACCAGTGTAAATCTAACATCAAAATCAGCTTTGCAGAAGACACGATAAATTGACTTGAGAGTTTTTTGGAGAAGAGAGTGAAGGGGGGAAAAATACAATTTGCTTTTAATGAAGACACAAACCATACATGGCAATACATACAACAGCCCAGAATAAAATGTTAGAAAGTGTATTGCAATAGTGGCAAAAATGGTAACTGCTTTCAGTGTTTCATAAGCCATGTTTTCACTTCAGTTGTACAGATCACTTCTTAGTCCTTGTAAGGCCACTAAGCTGGTTTGGTTTTCTATAGTCTAGCTATTCCTATGGGATCTCAATTCCAGTATAGAATTTCTGGATGCCCCTACAAGCAGCTAGGAACAAGTCACAGCATCCAGCACTATTACCCTGCCAGGTAATCAAAGGCATCAGCAAGCTGACAGCAGGAAACAACTGGAATGTAGTTTCTAAATAAAATAATGGAACAGATCACGCACGATTTAAAACTATTAACAGTACTTCATTCACAGCATTTCCTAAAACCCTCTACAAAAAGAATCCTCTGTGTTTATATATTAAGGTAGCAAAATCAGGCCTGTATTATGTCCGGAATTAAGGACAACTGAAGAGGTACAGGTTCCAACCTTAGACCACTTGAATGTTTGTGCAATGCAGTTATAGCCAACGTAAAACAAAGTCTGTGAGAGGCAGAGAAGAAACCTAGCTCTATATCTAGATGAACACCTTAAATGACAGTATTCTCTTTTTGTGGCCATGCACGGTATTTATAACCTAACCAGAAGCTGTGATTCTCCAGAGAATGTGGTACACAAACATTTAATTAAACACTATCATAGCACAAAGGCACAATAGGGCCGAACGAAGAAGAGCAGAGACCCCTGGGTTACCTCTGAGTGTCCGATCTCATGCTGTAGTCCTGGAAGCTGCGTGACTGTGATAACACAGCACAGTACTTCTCAGATTAAGCTTTTGTGGGCAAAATTCTACTGTACTAGTCACACTTTAGAACAACAAATATGAATACTGTACAAGATAGTACAGGACCTCAGTTTAGCTTTCTGGTTTGGAAAACAACACAGAAATCATGCTTACGCATGAGCGCCATTTGGCCAAGAAGTAATTATACCATCTTGCCTTTCCAGATTCAGAGCTGTGAGCTCAGAAGAAATTCAATGGCATTCTAGACAGAAACTGGATTTACTACACAAAACAGTTTTGCAACAAGACTTTGTTAACAGCTGGCTTCAAGAAAGTGCTGCTTGCCAAAAAGCTTACCTTTCTCTCTTTCAGTAACTGTTTGTAGCCACTGGCACCTAGAGACAGAAGTGTAATGAGGACATCTAAAGAAGGAGAGGCAGATGCTCTTCCTGGAAAAAAAAAAAAAAATTAAATTGCCAAAAATAAATTTTATGTGAAAGAAAGCTGATAATCAAGTTTTCTACAGTTATTTTGTATGGATGAAATCAGTCCATGAACTACTTACCTGGATACATTTTGCTGATCTCCTGAATGAAGGACTCATTGAAGCCAGCAATGATAGCACCACCTACTGGAACCATAAAATTTTTGTCCAAGCTCTGAACAAAAGCATCTATTCTGCCTACTCGAGCACCCTTTATCAAAAAAGAACAACAACAAAAAAATCCAGTGTACATTAGGAAAAAGGAAACATGATAGTATCATAATTACACAGCAATGTAACAAATAAATATAATTCCTGAAACTCTCTCAGATGCTGTATTTGTGATGAAAAATTAAAAATCATAGTATTACTTTTTCTTAGCATTGCTCATTACTATTGTCTGCTTACATAGTAATTTACAAATTCCTATTTTGCTGTGATTTAAAATATTGATTTTAGCTCCTGCAAGGCTAAGCATAGCTTAATTTCAACAACAACCAAAAAGAAAACCTTTGGAATTTAATGGGGATTATACAGTTAAAACTGTACAACCCAAAACATTTCATAGATTCTCACAGTAAAGGGCTACAGGTTAATGCTTCATCAGCAAAGAAGATTTTCTTGATACATGTATAAATTTGCATTAAAACAAGTGGGCTGTGACAGCACTCCTCCTTATAAGGCTGCTTGCAAAACCAAGATCCAGATAACTTCCTATAGCAATTTCCCCTATTCCCAGAAAACAAAGCGTCCTTATACCTAGCCACTCAGATATTCTTAAAGGAAAAAATGTAGATTCTGCAGTACATCTTCAATTTAAGTAATATGCTACTGTGAACTGTACAATTAAAAGTATGCAGCATAACAGAACCTGAGAAGTATATTAAAGAATATACACATTAAAGTATATTCAAATACATACATATCAAAGTACTACATACTAAAACCAAGAAATAGAAACAGTTAATAGCTATGGCAAAAAGAGTGAAAGAAGCACATCCAACTAAACCACAGTTATTATTTCTATGTTTTAACAGCTTAGTGCTTGGGAGATGGGAAGAAGCACTCTTGAGTTTGTCAGTTTTTTGATGGGAAGATGAATGCCAGCAGCTACCATTTGATTTAATTGACAGGAGACCACCAGAGGAAAAGCATGACAAATGAAATGGTCTCAAAAGCTCTTTCCTGTGATACCCTTGCAAGTTCTGTTCACACTGTGCTCAGCATGTACGTATTCCTAAGCATTAATAACTACCTCCTCATAGACAGTACATTTTCTATTGCAGGAAATACATTTTTGTAAATAAATGTGAAACAAATCAGAGCTCAAATGATATGATCATTTGCATAACCAAAGAACAAACAACCTATCAAGAAGCCAAGAAAAAACACAGAAACCAACACAATAACCATTCTATTTGTAGCTTTATAGTCTGAAAAGATTATCATTAGATACATTTCACACAGTAAAACTCAGCAATTCCACAGCCCGCTTCATGTTAGAATTTCACTAAACTTGTGCAAGTTAAATACAATAAACATGTACCAAGTACATTACAGATAAAGCATATGCCATTTTCTATTTCACATCTCTTCAAGTTTTGCCAAATTCCTTCAGTCTCTCAAGATGTAGAAATGCCAACATGACATTCCTGTCATAATTATATATCAAGTTGGTCTGTGCCCAGTTAATAACATAATGTCTTCTTAACCAGAAAAAAAAACCAAACGACCAGCATATTTTAAATTCATAATAGTACAGGATTCCCTGGATCCTGTTAAAAAAATATCCCCCTATTCTTTTGATATGGGCAGAGAGAAAAGGGAAATACTGAAGAGACAGCGCACGTACATTGCAATGAGCAAAAATGCAAGAATTGCAAGTTTCATGGCTGATCTTAGGTATTAAGCAACCTCCTCTTCAAACTAGAACAGCAACAGAAATTAAACTTTTTTGAACATAACATTGAACTTAACCCAGTTTCCTCAGACGTTCTCTGTGCCAACAATATTTTAACATAGTGACAACATCTACAAAGTGTTGCTGTAGAATCTTGTACCTTCATTTTAAAATCTGTAACTCACATTCTGCTGAAGGCTTAATCCCTCTTCAAGTATGATCTGTTATTTCAACAAGTTTAGGAAATATTTTAAGAAAGCTTATTAAGGACATTTTTCCATTATGAAAGACACTTGAACATAAACAAAACCTAAATAAATTTGGGTTTACTACATAAAAAGCATATAATAGAAATAACAAATATTATTTTTAAGTTCTATTTCCCCCTGCTCTGCTTTCTCAGAAAATTGTTCAAACATCAGACACACATGGGATTAGTCTCAAAGCTGTGAAACATCTGATAAAATTTGCTAGTGTTGTCTACAGTCAGAGATTTACTTCTACTTGTCCAAAAAATTATTATTTGAAATACATAGCTCCTACCTGCTGGATAAGATGCATACATTTTGAAGACTGTACTCCATACGCATTGTTGACAATATGGGGAATGTCATAATTAGCACAAATCACAGCCAGTTCCTCCAGCCTATGAGGACAAAATTGTAATTTAGAGAAGCATCAATAACTGTAACTCATGTTACAAATCAGACCATTAAAAGACTGAAAGCTCTACAAGGAGGTAGAATGAGAAAAGAAACTTTTTTGATTAGTTCTTCAAGGTAGCACTTGTCACCTTAAGCTATAAAGGTTAAGAAGAAAATTCTGTCAGCTTTTACATATACTACAAGTTGTTGACCTGGGCTGAAATTTTTCATGCTTCACTGAGAGTTTCATCTGGAACACAGTAAATAGTTCCTAAATCTTTCTGCTTCAAACATAAGCATTTTTTTGTACTACTTTAATGATAACTAACAGAGCTTTAGCTGTTGATGCTTTTTTTCCTTTTCTTCTAACATTCAACCTGAAAATGTCCTAATGGAAGTTTCAAGATGTGTCTTGGGAATCAAAAGCATCATATAACAGTAAGTCTTTACATGCTTCTGTTTTTTTCAAAGAACTAATATTTCAACCCTTTGGCTGAAATCTCACTTGCATATTTCAGATAAACTGATTAACAGAAAAAATATTCTTCAAAGGAATGGAGAGCCCTAAAATGTCTGAATGTGGAAATCAACAAATTAAAACTTTGTTCAACTGTTTACTCAGAAATAAAGACAACTCTTCAATTGTCTTTAGAAATCCCCAAAATCACAGTGAGCTCAGCCTGGACTGATTTCTCAGTCAAACTAGGATTTATGTGGATGCATAGGTCACTTTGGGTAAGGGCCTTCAGCATTTTAAACATACATGTACTTAGTACCCTTTTTTAAAGCACTCCAATCATGCTCTATTTTTTAAAAAAGCTCTTGATTTCCCCCAAACTTGTGAATATATTTTAGAAATAAAATCTATTTGAAAAAATAAGGTAATATACAATAATTTAAAGTGATGATAAAGGTAATATTATTTAAAAAAAAAAATCAGGAAACTCTAAACCTTCAATGCATTTTTATTCTATCTCTTTCTGTGCAGCCTCTCGCTGTAATTTACTGACATTCATATAAAATGTGACAGAGTATGAGAACATTTTCCAAGAGGTGACATTCCTTTGCATTCTATTTCTATTACATTGCCTAGTGTCATTTTGTAATGCAAAATTCAGCTGCAAACCTCAGATTAAATTTTCTAAACCTCAATCCTTAGGAAAACATCATCATCACTGTATTATCCCTAAAGAAATCACAAGTATTTAATTATTAGGAAACACCAGTAGTATAACGTATGCATT